GGGGGCTCCGCGGGCCCCAGGCTCCCTATCGCCGCGGTGGGAGCCGTTGGAAAAGCAGGAGCACGAGCTCCTCGCTCGCTCCTCCCAGCGTCCCGACGCCGCCGCGCAAGGAGAAAGGGTTGGAAAAGCGGGGGTTTCTCCATGGAAAGGTCCCGCGCGGCCTCCCCGGCACTCACCGGAAGCCGAACATGATCTCGTCGTGGCGCAGGTGCGCGTCGTCGTCGATGGACAGGATGGCCTCCGTCTCGATCTCGTCCCACGGCAGGAACCGGTTGTTCAGGCTGTTCTTCTCCGTGCGGACAACCTGGGAGACACAGAGGGGCCACGGTCACAGCGGCTGCCCCAGACCAGCAAGTCCCCAAATCGCTTACTGCTTCCAGAGGTTCCGGAGGTTCCGGAGCATTAAAAGCCGGCGCTGGTGCAATTTACCCTCCTGACGAGCACAGCTGCTCCCAGTGTCTCGCTGAAGCCTGCGAGTCTCACCCGTTAGCACAAGCGGAACTTGGATCGCGGCCGTGGTAAAAACGGATCCAATCTCCAGGAAGCAGCAGGTTGAAGAAGCAAGAACAGAGGAAGGAACCAAAGAGGAACCAGGCCGAGTCATAGACACGATTCTCTCCCTTAGACTCCACTCCAAGCGGGTACAACTGGGCAGGGAGCAGATGCCCCCAGTGGAGGGGCTTCCTTCCCGCTCCTCAGGAAGGACCCAGGGACATCCCAAGCATCCCAGAAGCTGAGGGAGGGCAGGGTCCTGGATTTCCTGGCCAAGCCTCCTCCAAAGCTCTCCCACGGCCAGCGGGGGCCTCAGGACACCTCTAGTTTTCAGCAAGACCAGTTTGAAATGGGATCACGCAGAGGTTTAAAAACAAGGTAAAATTTGAGGGTTTTGCTGCTATTCGAAATCAAAGGAGAGGTAATTGGAGAGGAGCAACACGGGGCAGCTCCTGCCAATGCGGAAAGTGAAGGGGATCCTCAGAAACATGGGAATCGGGTCCCCAGATGCTGGAGAGCAGCGCGCCGGCATGCAACATTCCGCGGAGAGAGGACACTACAAAGACACTGAACCCTGAGGAGCAATTTCACCTCCCTGCTGCTGCTCCACCAAAGTGAGGAGGAACTTGGAGCTATTGACCTTGTTGCCTTCCTTTTGCAGAAGCCGCCCCGATTCAGAGCGGCTGAGGATACGGCTGACTGTCACCAGGCTCTTTTGAGCAGCCTACGGAAAACGCCCAAATCCATAAACACAGCCAAGAGGGCACGTGGCATTGCCAAATCCAGGGATTTCTAGGCCAGATATTGACCATCTCGTGTGTCCTCCTCACGCTGCAGAGTGCGGGACCCGACCCAGCCCCTAGGAACGTCTCTCATCACACGGTGCCATCAAAGGGACAAAACTACCAAGTCAAAGAGCAACCTTCATGGCACCAGCTGGACTCCAGTGGCTTTTGGGGGAAGGAGCAGATCACCAAGTGGGGGTCAAAACAGTAAGTTCAGGGGCAATGAAGACTCTCAGGTTTTCTGCATAACCCAGGTCACTAGGAGCAACAAGCTGGGGCCAAAGGACCTGTGCTGGGAAAGGCTGAGGTGTGTCTACAAAAGTGCAGTAAAATCCGTCTCCTCCAGCAACCTCCCTGCCGGTGCGGGCTCTGCGCCGGAGCTCTAAATTGTCCGTGTGATTTCCTGGAGACCTGAAGAAGGCTCCTGTCCTGGGGGAATTCTGGCAGCGCAGCCTAGGGAGCTGCGCTGATTCCCGGGCAAAGAGCAAACCCTGCAGGAGAGCGGCAGCCTCGTGGCACGCGCCGAGTTTTCCCAGGAAAACACAAGGCTGGCTGGGATAGAGCCAGGCAACACGGGGGACAGGGAGGAGGGTGTTGGAAAGGCTGCGTTTCCGGCGTGCCCGCGTCGCTGGGAATTCAGCTGCGTGTCCCCACGGCCAGCGAGGGGACGGAGGCGGCCGGCGCCGAGCGCTTCGGAGCGACCCAAGGAGCCCAACGCGCTGCCCCGGGGCTCAGGAGCCGACGGAGCCAACGCCAGCTCGGAGAGGAAACCTGAAGCCTGGGCTAGTCCGAAGCCGGGACGTCAACCTGTCCCATCCTACACGGATGGGACCGCGGGAGCTGGAGGACCAGATCCTCCCGGAGGAGCAACAGCCAGAGAGATGCATTGGACCTCACCTGGACCTGCACGCAGGAGGATCCCGCAGCCCCAGTGTGGCCGGAGCTCCGTGCGCTCCATGCCCAGCATTCCCTTCCCGCCCTGACCTGGCACCGGCCGCGCTCGTTCCTGCCCTGAGTTCGTCTGGCCACACGCGACTTCCCTGGGCTTTGCTGCCTCCCATTCAGGGGCATCGTCCGAACCTGAAAGAAGGGGATTTACAGTCTATTTTAGGACTCATCTCCAGGGGAATGAAGGAGTTTCACTGGAAGGTGCTTGCCTACAAAACTGCCCTGAGACTACATATAAATTGGCAAAACAGATGCATTTTTTTAAAAATATGCATAATTAAATAATGCGACATGAAACCAAATATAAATTGTCCCCCAGCGAGAGCAAAACCACCCAATAAGATACTTGTGAAAATACTTTTTTAAACCTATGCTGCGTCCACGCACAGAATATGTGCAAACACTTGGGCTGCCTTGAATCTGCTCCACCACTAGCAGTGGGCTGCTCATCCCCGAGAGGAGCAAACAGTTTGTGATACAAATAAAACCCATTATTTATTCATTTCCATGCGGGTGCAGCTGTCATGTCTTTCTAAAGCAACTTGAGAAGAATGCTTATTTTAACATTAAAGAGCTACAGCTACTTATTTTTATTCTCTGTGTGTTGCTGTTTGTGGCTTTGCAGCTGAAGACGGACGTGGAATTCGTTGGGGGTCTCATTGGGTTCCTCCTCCAGCTTCCAACTGGATGGAAAATTATCCTACGTGCTTCTGCAGGGATAGCACCAAAAGAGGGTCTTCTTATGGGGTCTTCTTCCCCTCTTACAGGGTCTTCGGACACTGCTGTTGCCTCCAAGCTGTTGCCTCTGCTTCTAATTTTACCCTCCCAGCCCCTTTTTCCCCTGGAAATTACCTGTTGGCTGCCAGGAACTTTGATAGGACAGAGCCCTTGACGCCTGGGTCTCCTTATGGGCCCTGCGATAATTTCACCAGCTAAAAGGTTGTTGGATTGAGCAGCCTCAGCTCTCCCCGACGCACAGGGCACCTGGGCAAGGCTCTACATAGACAGCTACACAAACCACAAAGCCTTGTCCTTACTGCAAAAAAACCCACCTTTTTGTGCAGATCCCTGTAACCCTTCATCCTCTGCGAGCTAATTCACACGCTTCTAATTTCATTGCAGAAAACACGTTGCGAGTCCCCGACCCGCAGGAAACGGCCCGAGAGCCCCGGAAGGGACTCGGGAAGGGCCGTCACATCCCATCTGCAGGACAGTTAGTTAAGACTGTCTATAAACAAACCCAGGAGCCCATCAAGTTTGCAGGGGGGTTATTTTCTGGCAAGGAGAGAGGATTTATTAATGCCTGCATTGCTGGGAACATCAACCATAAAGAGCCCTTGGGCAGACTCACTTTTGGCACCCTGGTTTAGCCAGATGAGAAGTTTTCTAGGGATTTTAGAGAGCAAAAGGTTGAGATCTTGATGAAAAAGTTCTTAAGGGGCTGGAGAAATGAAGGCAGCTCTGCCAGCAAGTCACTCCTCAAATCCATGAGCTGCACGTTCATGAAATGTGAGAAGAATTAGCAAATCCGGACCACGATTCCTTAACCAGCACCTCATCTTTCGCTTTCCTCTGGGATGAGCGCAGCCTCTGGACAAGAGCAATTTCCATTCGCTCAAGTATCCGAAGAGGGAGGATATTCCCTGGAACCCGGTCAGCCAAAGGGGAAACGCACTTGGAGCAAAGATGCCAGCCCGTGCTTTGGGGTGGACGATCCCACACACTTCATTGCCTGGAGCCTCCTGGCACCTGGAGATCCACTCAACCTCCTCTCGCTGCTCGGCTCAGACCATGGAAATCAAGGGGGAACAAATGCTCCGAGCAGGAGGCTGTTAACACAATGCACGTGGACGGTGTTGACTGTTAACACAATCCACAGGCTGTTAACACAATCCGCACTAAAAACGAGTGGCCTGCAACCCCAAGGAGGCCATTAGTCCCTTCTTATCCAAGCTGTGAACTCCACATCCCGCCCCAAACGCTCCGAAATTCCCTGCTGCAGCCAGGGACTGTGAGCTCAGAGCTCCCGGGAGCGGAGCCCAGGGGAGCACTGAGGACTTTGGGTTCGTGGCTGCACCGTCGCTCGACCTTCCTGAGTCCTTCCCAGCCGCCTCCTTGACGTCCCGGTGCTGCGGGAGCTTCCTCCTGCTCCGTGGAACTGAAACAACACGGATGTTTTGTTTGGACCGACCCAGTTAACACCCAAGGGCCAGAGCTGAATTCATGACCTTGGTGAGAAGATCTTCCCACTTCCCTTCTGTGTCTTGGGGCGCAGCCATTTCTGGGGGTATCCCATCAAGTTGTGGGAGATTCTGGGACAATCTCCATCCTTGGAGGAACAGGAGAGATGCCTGGACGTGGTCCTGGGACTCTGGGAGACCCTGTTTGAGCCAGGGGATGGAACTGGATGATCTCCAGAGGTCCCTGCCAACCTCAACCCTCTCTGTGAGCGCTTTAAAAGCACCCGGACGGCTCCAGGGTGCATGGATGAGGGCTGCCCTGCAGCGGGGCTGTCCCCCGGCGCCTCTCCAGCCATTTTCAAGTTGTCACACGCGAGAAAAACCTCTGATTCTTTCCCTGCCTCGCTTGGCATTTCCACTGCCCCAAGTGCCTCCTTCCTCCTGCTTCCCAGCCCTGCCAGCTGCCTCCTAAGCAGAGGGATTTTGGCAAAGTGAAGCCACAGGAGCATTGTATCTATGAGAAACAAAAAGCTATAAAGAAACAGCATACGGCATGGGAGGGAAGTGGTGGTTTCAGGTAAGAGCAGCACGAGACCGGGCGGGCGCTGGAGTTAATATCCAGTGTGAAGAGTCCTTGGAAGTCACCACTGAAAGGCAGGAGATGCTGGTGGAAGGAAAAGGCAAGGAGCCCGGAATTGTCTTTGCTGGGATCATAATCCCATTTTTGCCTTCCCTTTCCCGCACTGCTCCCGTCTCCAGGGCAGGACCCCGAGGGAAGCAGCGCCGAGGACGGAGGGAGGCAGCCGGGCACGGTCTGCTTTCCTGGCACGGAGCAGGTTCCGGGGGGCTCTAAGGGAGTTTCTGAAAGGGAAATGGATAATTGAATTGCTGCATTAGAGGCGCTGGGGCTGCCGGAGCACAAGCTGCTCCGAGCTTAATCACCGGCACGGAGGGCACGCGCGGCGCTGGCAGCCTCCTGCGAGCCCCATTAAATGTATTAAAACAAAGTGTCTTGAGGACAGCGTGGCTCTCCAAAACCTGCCGCTTTCTGTCATTTTGGGTGCGTTTTATTACGATTTGCGTGGGCTGGATGAGTGGTTTACTGGGAGTTTCCATTTGTATCCCTTAAGCTGCGTTCATACGGATGCAAAGGCTGCCAGGGAGGTGTGGAGCAGGGAGCGAGGTGATTGGGAGCTCCCGGACACCGCGATGCTGCAAGGGGCTCCTGGAAGCCCCTCCGCAGCGCCGGAGCCGGATCTTCTCCCCGACGACTCCTCCTTCGCTCCGCTGCTGGAAACCGTTCCGGGATGGGTGCGCAGACGGATGCACGGGCGCCGCAGCCAAGATTCCCCGGCTTGCTCCAAGCCGAGAGTGTCGCCCCACCTGTTCCGAGCGGAGATCGAAGCCAAAACTGCCTTTCCTTGAGCAGGGAGAGAGCAGGAGGGCACAAACGCGGGCTCCGGAGAAGCGCTCGGAAGCCGAACGACGGCCGAGATGTCACTGCCGGCCCCGGCACAGCCCCGCTCTCCTGCTCCTGCTTTTGGGGCAAGGTCTACGAATTCCATGCTGCGGATATAGGACATTTTAAAACCTGCACGAATAGGGTTCTGCCTTGGAGCCATCTTTTCCTCCTGTGACACGATGAGAGGTGAGAAATTCCGCAGCAGGTCCCGTTGCAGCTCCACCACGAAGGTGCATTGAATTAGCAACATTAAGCAGCGTTGTGCTCATCCCTCATATTTCACCATAACTCACACACAACGAGGGACTCGCTGATTTTCTAGCGACGCTGCTGCAGGCAAGAAATACACAGCTGAGAAAAAGATGTAACAATAAAACACGTCCCACCGGCCGCCCCGTTGATCTCATCAGCGAGGAAAGACTCAAAGACTCAACACAGCTTCCAGCCTTGCTCTGGATTAACTTACACCCCATCAGGGAAAAGAGATCTCAAATAGATACCCCAATAGATACCCTAATAGATACCCCAAAACTGCAAGGGCCAATTCTGCTCCTCTTGGCCCCAAGGGCACCGTGTCCACACGTGTCCAAGCCCCCAGAGCACGAGTTGGCCTCCAGCACAACCCAGGCATAACCAAGAAGAAATTTCAGGAGAAAAGGCATTAATGGCCAGGGTCCATCAACGGAAACACATTTTCCTTTGGGAAATTACACCCATTAGCAGCTCCAAGGAGAACGATTCCCACTGCTTGGCTCTGCAGGAGCACGTGGGTTTCCTTTTTAGCAGATGCAAGGCAAAGAGTCTACCAAATTCAAGCATTCAACAGAACTAATGTGAAAGATTATTCTGTAATTATCCGAGCAATTTTCTCTCCTCATTGTCCCTGGACCATAAGGGGTTTTAAACGTGAGCAGAAGGATTTATTCATCCCAATAATAATAAAAGGAAATATTAAATCAATGAATCTCTTTGCACAAAGCAAGAAGCTCACGCTGCTAAGCCCTGTGGCATCCTGCCACATAAACCACGCGCCGTTTGCCTCCTGAAAAACCATCTTCCTCTTATTTTTCTCCTGATTTGTGAAGCTTTATCCTTCCCCTTGTCCTCTGCATGGAGCGTTTTCTATTTAATAGCCATTTATTTAATAGTCAGCAACGCCCAGGTCAGGGTTATGCAGAGGTGACAGAAGTCCTGAGCTTCAGAAGGAAAGAAAAGAAGGAAGAAGCAAAGGAAGAAAGAAAGAAAAGTAGTGGAAGATAAAAAAGACCCACCAGGATGGCAGAATTAGCTGCTTAAACGCAGCGTCCCCTCTCTCTGCAGCTTTCTCAGGGCCCAGCACAGCTTCAGCACGTCCCCCCCTTGTTTTTATTGAAGATTCATCAGGTAAAGAGCAGCAACTGCCACTTCTTAGGTATTTATACGGTGCCAACCACCCTCACAGCGTGACACCGAGCAGAGCCCAATCAAAGACTCCAGGGAATACAGGAGAGTCACTAGTTTTCAGCCCCACGATTCATGGCAAGCTCCAAATATATCACTATTTTTCCAAGGGTGCTAAACACCTGGCGCCTGTGAAGTCCCTGTATTTCTACAGCTCTTCAGGGCTATTTAGGTGCTCCCAGTATTCCCCAAGCCCAGGACCACGGGGTGAATTTTGTCCCGACAGCCATTCCTCTCCCCGGAGCTCGCGGCGGCGGCCCCCCCTGCCTCTGAACCAGCCCAGAGCCTCCCTTGAAAGTCGGCGGGGAGAACCTGGGTTTTCAGAACCTAATTGACCCTGTTCTCCTGCGGACATCCAAAATGGCCCGGGCGAGTCCCACCTTCCATCTGTTTCTCCCCACTGGCAGCGCCCAGACACGGGCAGACACGTGGGACGGATGCTGTTCGAGGTGCCCAAACCCAGCTGAGGAGCTCGGAGCAGCCAGGGCCACCTTGGACACCCGGAGCCCATCGCAGAAGGCAGGCGAGAGCCCCCCTGTCTTTCTTACCATGATGGGGACGCCAATGTCCGGCCACAGGAGATCCTCGGAGGGCAGCTTGGGAGAGTTCCACACTACCACCACTTTATTTAAGTAGGGGAGGCCGTTGAGCCTCTCCAGGGAGTTCATGAGCACTTCCTCCCGCTCGTAAGTCAACATCACCACCGTGAACTGTTCCCGGGGGACATTGCCACCCAAAGCAGCCTGGAACTCCTTCCCGGAACCACCTGCTCCTCCGCCAATCGGTCGAAAGCCAGTCCCAGACCCCAAAAATTTCGCTTCCGATGGTAAAACGGGATCGAAGGGAGTATAGGGGAAGAGGTGGAAAGGCCCAGGAGCCGAATTCCAATTCCTGTAGATGTCCATTGCCGTGAGGGTGAAGTTGCGGAGATACTTGGGAGACGCGTAGGGCGGTTCTGTCTCCACAGGCCCCAGGTCCAGGTCACCGTTGTCTGCCATGTTGGGGTCTGTCCCAGCAGCTTTGCCGGAGCGGTGCGGGATCTCCACGGCCGCTTCTTCCCGGATAGGAGCGGCCGGGATTTGGATTCGAGTCCTTATGATCGCTAAGACCGTGCTGAACACGTTGTCGGAGGTGGAGAAGTAGGTCTCCCACAAGAAGCGGCCTTGCCTCCTCATGGCAAGGAGATCGTTGTCAGAAATGCTTCTCAGAAGAAAGTGCACTTCTGTGATACGGGGCTTTGGTATGATTAAGGCTGCCTCGTTCCACCGGATCACATCATTGTAGGGGAGCTGCACTTGCTCGCCAAGAACCACCGGGATGGCTCCCACCTCCAGAGCCTCGAAGAGCCTCATGGCGCAGCCGGCCGAGATCACCAGCCGCGTGTCCCCGGGGGTGATTATCAGTGCAAAAGTAGAAAGCTTCAGTAGCTCGAGCCTGTCGTCCCTTTCTCCACACAGCGCCCACTCAGTGGGCAGACTTGCCTTCGGCTGGTTCTTGCACGTGAACTCCACCAACACGAAGTCCAGCTTGCTGTCCTGAACAGCCTTCAGGGTGGTGATGATGCGGTCGTCGTAGTCAGCGGGGGCATTGCCTTCGATTTCCTCCTCGAAGGAGCGAACCTCTTGCAAGCTGGACCGGAGGGACTCGATCTTCTCCCCCTGGAAGCTGAACAGATACTTACGCTTCACCGGCACCTGGGGCGGGATCTCTAGGAAGTTGGGCTCCGACATAGCGTGGACCAGAGGGGACACCACTATATCAAAGCCTGGCCGATACTGCACGTCGTAAAAGGTGGACTGAGCAATCATGGCACGGCCCGTGCTGATGTTGTACAGAAAATTCTGAGTTTCCGATTTCCGGGATAAATTGATGATGAGATGGTTGTGTCCATCAGTCCTCCAGTACGGCAGAGAGTGCAACTGTTGCTCGAGTTCAGTAGGTTTTGGCATCACGGGCTCTTGCATTTCCCCCACTAAAATTATATACACACAAGCAATATTTGCATTTTCAGTAACATAAACGTTAGTTCTGACAGTCGCCTCAAAGGCTTGTTTAATTAAAGGGTCCAAGGAACTACCAAGAGGGTAATCGTCGCTGTTGTAGACGTAGACCGGGAAGCCGGACGTCAACGGGCAGCGCGAGTAGTCGAAGCAGTTGTGCAGCCTGCAGCTCCGGGGGGATTTTGGCAAGGGAAAAGTCGCCTCATCCTTGTCCGGCAGGAGCCGGATGGGCAGGGAGAGCTTTGGCTGGTTCTGGGCCATGAGTTCTTTGTAGGAATGCTCCGTCTGGCTGATGACGTTCTTCAGCTGCAGCAGGTCCTGCTTGGCATTTTCGATGCTCTTCTTGCAGGCCTCGATCTTCAAGTTGAGCTTGGCGATCTCGCTGTTGAGCTCCTGGCGCTTGGCCTCGAGCTGCAGCAGCTCCTCGCTCACCGACTCGCGGATGCGGCACAGGTCCTGCACGTGCTTCACCTCGCACAGCTCGTTGCCCGTGCGGGGGCCGAAGATGCGCTTGCCGGCGTCGTCCGCGTCGTCGAGGGTGGTCAGGTAGTAGTGGGCGATGAGGGGAAAGAAGACGAGGATGATGAAGAGGGTGAAGCTGAGCCAAGTGAGCCGGATGCGACTGGACCACCTCAACACCCACGGCTGGCCTCCGTTCCCCACTCCCCCATTCCGCAACATCGTATATCCAGTCATGAGTTCGAGAGTCAGTGCGCGCCCGATCACGTCGGATCAGTAGCCATAACCAGAAGAGTCCTTGGAGCGAGTTCCCGGGAGGAAACGTCACTGGGCCTGCTTATGGAGAGGCCGATAGAACGGAAATTTCATCTTCCCGTCCTGGCGCCGGCTTCGCCACAGTCTCTGCGTTGCCTCTGCAAGTTCCGCTCCGCTCCGCCTGGATCATGGAGCTTCTCAGCACGCCCAGCCCAGCCGTGTCCTGCGGGCAGCCGTCGCGAGCAGCGCCGCAGCGATGGGTGTCATGGCAGCGCGAGGTCTCAGCCGGCGCGGGAGGAACCCGCCGGGATCAGGGCAGACTCCGGCGCTGCTCCCGGCGTCCCGCTTCACCACCCGACCGACGTGCGGAGGCGACAGCCATGGTGGGAAAGGAGCCAGGAGGGACTCGGGCGAACGTCAGGCTCCTGCGTCACCGCCACGCTGCCCAGGCTCTGCCATTCCTGCAAGGGAAAAACCCTCTGCTCAGACAGCACGAAGAGAAATAGATCCCCCACAACAACCTCCAGCCGCCTTTATAAAAGCACTTGGACCGGAGAGGGACATTTGTAGATGACCAACACCTCCCAGGTGCATAGGCATAAACCCAAGGAAGCGCTGGGATTCACCAGGCATGGCCACACGGCTTCCTCCGGGCACTCCGGCTCCCCATCAGGGCTACGCACGAGCCCAGAAAATCCCAGCCCTGCAAAACTTTCAAAATGCACCGAGGGAATAGACAGCCAGGCATAAAACCCAAGGACACGGCCGATTTAGGCCCAACTCTTCGGTCTACATCAGCAGAACAGAGATTTGAACCTCGGCCAGGTGGGCATGTTGGCCACCAGAATGGTCTCCCTGCCTTTTACTCACCACTTTTGAGGTACCTAAGTTTTGGGGATATCCACTCGGCTGGGTTTACGGTCAGCTCTCACAAGAAGCGTGATGAGATGGTCATTCCCTCTGTAATTTGTTTTAATTTGGGATTTTCAGTGTAGGATACGCGTGTGCATCAGAAAACAAACAGAAGATTTAATTTTAACCAGGGAAAATAGAATTAAAGGGGAACTGACAACACAGCCTGTTCCTAGGCCTATTTCATTACAGGGCCTTTTGGTGATGGTAAATTAATGTCCCACGATTAAATGGGAACATTAAATCTGCTCACAACTAGGGAGGTGCCTGGCAATTGGTCAGTCCCTGGGATTTCCACCCAGGGCTGCAAAGGGCCCAGAGTTGCCCCCAGTTTTCTGCAAACAGCTGGTGAGGAGACGAGTTGCTCCGTTAACACCTTTCCTGGGGGAAATGCCAAAGCAAAGCGCACACAAACACGGATTTGAATCTGCAAAGGGCTTAATTTCCAGGCAGGCATGGGAAAACGAGCTCCTGGGGGGTGCCCTGGGGTGAATGTGGCCAAGCACTGCAGGTGCTGAGCCAGCACGGTAACGAGGGATCCAAACTGAGCTGTTTCTCAGTGGCAGAGAGAACTGTTTAGCCTGCATCTTAGTCTTGTTCCGTTTTAGCTGCCTCCCCCTTTGCACGTGCAAAACAGTGCTGAAAAGGCAAACTGGCCTCCCTAAAATGGCAACGGGGCGGTCCCTGAAAGGCTAAATCTGAGCTATCCCCCTGCACACCATCCTCTGGAGCTGCTCCACCACCTAATCCTTCCAGGGACAACTCTGCTCCTTCCAGCTTCAGCCGACGCAGGACAAACTCGCCCCTCCTGACCCGAGAACGTGTGCCAGGAATTTAGAAAACTCCGTATGCTCCGAAGCGGGACGCTCGGAAGCGACCGCACAGGAGAGGCCAGCGGAGGCTGCGGAAGGGTTGGAAATGATCCGGCTTGGGATCGCTTAAAAGCATCGGCTGCCAGGATGAAATATGAGCTGGTGATAAAGAAAGCACTTCAGCCACTCTTCCAAACCCTTCTTCCTTACCAGGACTTTATCCTTCATCAACTACACAGAGTCTGCACTTGTAACACATTAGTAGAATTAAAAAAAAAACCCAGCCCAGCCCCAAACTGCAGTTTTAGCAGTGTCGGATTCAGGAGCAATTAGCAACCCTGGGGTGAAAGGCTGCTGATTGCCCCAGGTCCCAAAAAGCAGCGTGGGAAGAGGAGGCCGTGTTAGTCACTGGGCTGGTGGCCGAGCCGCTCATCCCACTCCTGAGCGTTCCCTGGTCCTTGGAGCCAAGGCACCCACCTGTGTCCCGCGCGCTCTCCCTCCGGATCGGTGGCCCAGGCTGGCGGGAAGCGCCTCAGCGGCTCCTTGGATTGATCCGTCCCGTCTCGATGGCCGGTTCCTATTGCCAAGTCTCTTCTTCCCCAGCACTACAAATAAAAACACATAAAAAGCACAATTTTTAGAAAAGCGTAAACCTTTATGCTTAGGCTAAATAAAGAGGCAGGGAGAGAGGAGGACGAGCTCAGACGAGCACGGCCGACCTGCCGAGGGCTGGAAGGGATAAATGCAGTGTGGGAGGAGAGGAGGGTTCACTTGGCTTTTACCTCGCTGGAATTAACAGACAAGACGTGTCCGGAGGCAAAACCAAGCGCTAGGTGCTGCCTGGGACTGGAAAGCAGCACCCCACGGCCTCCTCTGCAACCTCACGGCCTTCTACACCTGTTGGAAAACCTTCACCATCACCTGAGAGGAGGCAGCTCCATGGATGGAGCCCGGTCACCGCGTTACCGGGCGCATCGGGATCGCCCTTACAGGGCAGGAGGATCTGCAGGCGACGCAGCTCGTTGCAGAGCGGGCTGGAAACTCAAGCACATGAACAGAGTTGTGCCAGGACTCAATTTATTCGGACGAGAGCGAACCAGGGGCCTACGGGCAAGAGCTGCTTTCTCATTTCCACGCTCTCGAGTCGCAGAGTCCCAATTAAATGAATTTCTGCTGCGCCCCCAGGCACACGACACCGTGGCTCCAATATCTGGGTCTCTGCTGGGTTTCTTTAAAGCTGTCCCACCTTTATCCAGAAAAATGGGCTCGAGCCACCACTGCGTGAGCATGAAAGACTAATTAGGCCTTCATTAAGCAGAACGCAGCAAGAGAGGTGCTGGGGAAGAGAAATAAGAGGATCTGGGCCCATGCAAGGAAGGAATTAGACCTTCCAAGGTCCAGTTAGACCAGACCGAGCGTTGATCAGACCCAGCATTGGTTAAGCATGAGGCCAATGCTCAGGTTCTCCTGCTTCTTCCTCGCATGTTCATGTGTTTGGCAACACCTGAAACTTCATGGAAAGAGAAGAAACTTAACAGAATGATTCTCGAGTTTGATCAAATTTTAATACACACTATTTCTCTCTTATTATATCACTAATTCAGCTCCTGGGGCTCCGCAGGGAGCAGCCCCACCACGTTCCAGGAAGCCTAAGTATGACCCCAGCTTTGCACTTTTTGCATTCCCTAGTGCTGGGCAATATATTCCTCACCAAACTTGTCCCCTTGCAGGGGACTTCTCGCTTGGGGATCCTGCAAAAGCAAAGGTGATTCTGCTAAATCTTGCAGCAGGCAACACAGGGACGTTAGGGCCAGCTTGCTGAGTGGCTGCAAACTTAACAAGCCAGCACAGCACTTCTTCTGGCGTCCAAAATCAGGGGGGCTTTTTCGCTAAAAAGGAAAGATTTCAAATTAAAAAAGCCCCAAAAAATCCTTCAGCCAGCGGCGCTGCAGCAGGGAGGCAGCTCCTGAGCATCCCCGAGCAGATGTGCTGCACTCAAAATGTCTTTGTCTATTAAAACTGTGTCAGCTTCAGAGACTCCACAGCTCCCCGTGGCATAAACAGAATTTCTAATGAACAGCTGCAGGAGCCAGCAGCAGCCACCCAAAACGCAGCTGCTGAGATCCTTTTCCTTGCCTTTTCTTTCCATGCCACCTTCTCCGTCCCTCGGCCGGGTTCTCCCGTCCTCCTGCCACCAAGGGCCACCGGTTACCCAGCTTCTCCTTGTCCCTCCTGCCTTGAAGCCTGATCCCTTGGGAAGAATTTATCCCAGGTGTGTTGAGACCCACTGAGAGAGCCTTCATCTTCATCTCATGCCGAGGATGACGCTTGCTGTGGTTCCCGTCAGCGTTGTCCTCATATGGAGGAAAACGGGATTTGTTCTCCAAGCAGGAACAGCAGGTACTTATCCCAACCTTGGGAATCATTCGTGTGCTAGATGCTGAGAGAGTCTAATGAACAAGGAATGTCCCCCTGGGTTGTTTCCAATAGTTATCCCTGTTTTATGAAAGCAGGACGAGAACAAAGTTCATCTTCATCTTCATCTCATGCCGAGGATGACGCTTGCTGTGGTTCCCGTCAGCGTTGTCCTCATATGGAGGAAAACGGGATTTGTTCTCCAAGCAGGAACAGCAGGTACTTATCCCAACCTTGGGAATCATTTGTGTGCTAGATGCTGAGAGAGCCTAATGAACAGGGAATGTCCCCCTGGGTTGTTTCCAAGAGTTATCCCTGTTTTATGGAAGCAGGACGAGAACGAATCACCACTGCTGCTTAATGGTGTAACCGGGTGCCTGGAGTTGGAGGTGGCTATTGCACCAGGGCTGCTCCTGTCCAGACTAAACACCCAGCCAGAAGGAAAAGGAGACATTCCCAAAGCTTGGAAAGCTGCCTGCAAACACGAGCTTTGGAGAGCTCCGTAACACAGGCAGCGTCTCCCAAAAAAGGGCCCAAGCCACCATGAAGGTGCCACACGGCCAGACACGAAGGCAGCAGCTTCAACAAGTCATTAGGATAGCCAGAAAAACTGCCACATGGTCTGGAGGATCCAACAGAAATAATATAAAAGCCCAAGATTGCCTAATTGAATCAAACCAAGGATGCATCTAGTCCAAGCCCTTTCTTCCAAACGCTCAATTCCAGCTCTTTTGGTGCAAAAGACTCATAAATCATCGTAATTTACGGAACATTAGAAACATTAGCTTGTTCCTACCTGAGCCTGTGTCCTTCTCCTCCAGCTCAGCCTCATGTCCTGACACTGGGACAACGGGATTCGGTTGTCCCAGCTCTGACCAACTCCCTGCAGATCTCAAGGACAGCAGTGAG